GCAGGCCGAGGACCAGAGCTCAGCATTGGAAACCCCAAGTCATTGCACTCAATGCCTTTCCTCTGGATGGCTGTGGAGCACCACGGAGAAGCCTGCCATGCTAACTCTGCACTAGAGGCAGACGCACACGGCACAGAGCACCACGAGGCTGCAACGGTGTCTGCAGAAGGCTGCAAATCCCCCCGGGACTTGCAGCCGCTCGGTGTGGGACGGACTGTAGGGACACAGGCGATAAAAACCCACAACTCTGTCCTCTGCCTCCTGCCTTCCCCTCCACTAAAATTTACCAATGCTCACAAAAGAGAGTATATCAACAAATATATGCTCGGGTGTTACACCTGCCTTTTTCTGAATGTGCACAACTGGCCACATTCCACCCGAGACATCCTCCAGATATGGCCCAAGTCTCTGTCCACAATATGTGAAGTACACTCTGCCTTTAGCTGGCTGCCCTGGAGGGGGAGGAGTTCCTTCTGTTCTCTCCCAGCCAATCCCTGCTACATCACCTGGAGAAAAATTAAATCAGAGGAACACATTTATCTGCTTTTGTCCCATTATCTAAGGTGGTCAGTTATGTAAATAAGCTACATCTGGACATACCAGGAGAAAGCGTCACATCTAGGCGAACGCTCTTCCACTGTAACAAGCTGGATCCATTATAATGCACAGCTCGTCCATTGCTAAGAGGGAAAACAGGAAGACGACACATTAACAACAGGAGCACTCTATATAAGGCAACATTAAAACTGGCTCATGGTGCTGAAACACAACTGGAACTCTCCTCATTTGGATAAGGGATTACCATATTTCACTAAAAAGGGGTGAAAGATTCCTTTTTTGTCGACATTATTTGTTGAGTACACAGATGTACTCAGAAAAAAATTATATCGAGTCCCGAAGGGCTTATATGCCATTAATATAGTGAGCAAGGCTGTATTTTTCAGTGAACACATTTCCAACGCACTTGTGGAAGAGACACGTGCCAACAGGATTTGTCCAAGCTCCATCCCGCTTCTCTGCTTCAGTGGCAAACCCAAATGAAACGATTGGACCAGTGTCATCATCTGTATCTCCATAGGAAACTACTTCAATTTCCCAGTAGAATGATGGAGCCTAGGAAAAAATGTCACGCATGGGATTAAGTCAGGCAGAGACTATCTGTGCTGTCAGGCATTCAAGACAAATCACAATGATACAGCCACATACAGACACACACACACTGCCCTCTTACCTGTACTGGGACTGGTGATGTAGCATAGATAAAGGTGCCACGAGGCAGTCCCCCACCTGCGCTAGGGTCAGCCAAGAACGTTACCGCTGTGAGATGTGATGAAAACATGCAGGCTCGCACAGGTGGAAACACTCTTGAAGGGCTCCATGTAATCTCCTTGGGCTGGAAAATCGGAAGAGGGCATTTTACTTCATCTGACTGCTTTGGACACAGCAAGGTAGACATTAGCCTGCTGCAATCCAGTGACCAAGTTTGCTTATGGAGTGCACCTGATGTAACCTACATAACCCACATGTTGCATTCAAGCACATATAAGTGGGACAAATGCCTTCCCTTTTACACTGTAATGGTCTATCTCCTGAATCCATTTGAAAAGGGGCCAAAAAACCAACACCATATTTCTCTATTTACCTGTCTTCTGTCTGCCTGGAGTGGCGGGGGTGGGGGACGAGCACAATCTCGGTACAACATTCTCAGCCTTTCACATTGCACTTCCACAACGAGAAGCCTCTCCCCTGTAACAACACAAAAGAAACCAGTGGCATCTGCTTTTAGGTGGGTCAGGCTAGTGGGGGACTAGCATTCCTGACCAAGCACAACTGTGTTAAAAGCCCCCTACATGCTGCAATGAAGTCAAACTGTAAATACATACATTCAATTAATCTCTCCCTTCACCTTACCAAAAAATGAGACCTCTGAAAAATGTCTTGTGTGTGGTGTATTTTGTTCTGATTTTTCCCCTGTACAAATACATAGGTAACTTCAGCTTAAATGAACAAAAGCAGTTACTCTGCATTTAAGATTGTCACTTCATTCTTTTCCTAGCAGGGTGAGAATGAAATATTACAGCAACATCTAGCATCCCCACTGCTGTGAGATGTGTTCAGACCTACTCCCTTCAACCGTCTTTCAGGATTACCCTACTCTTTCTAGCTTTCCTTATGATTTAATGCTTTTCTTTTTTCAAGTTAAAATCAATGAGCTTGATACAGCTTCAAGTGAAGCTGAAGTTGAGTAAAGCACTGTCAAATCCAATTCTTGTGTTTTCACTGAGGTAGCCAAAATGCTTCAAACATTTTGATTCTTACAGGGCACTTTGCGTAAAGGAAATTCAAAGTTATAGGCTGGCCATTGAAATAAAATAGCCAGTCTGATCATCGCTTGAAATAAACTATATTGGGCACAGGCATTATTCTTCATAAATATGCAGTGATCTGGGATACCCAAATGGAAACCCTCCTTCCTGTTAAAGGGAGAGTGCTTAGCACTTTCTGAAAAATCAGAAGTGCTGAGCTGGGCATTCAAGAAGTGAGATCTTAAACCACTCGTCATTTTTGAAAATTCAAGCTAGAAAATGTTGCACGAATGAGAACACATAAATCTTTCCCTCTATTAAAATTGTTAATCTGTGACTGAGCAGAGAGTAAAAGAATGAGACTAACATGTCTCGCTGTTTAGTTGAGAGCAGATGGTGCTTGATCCTTTCAAGGCCTAGTTAACATCACCCTCAAAGGTACAATTTATTCTATGGAGAAGCCTACCTGGAAAAAAGGGGAACTCCTGATCAAAGATGAGTTCAGCTGAGACTTAGCTTTACATTCAACTGACAATAAATAAAACACTGTGGGTGCATCTTCATGTGCGCTTTAATGTGCAGTAGCCTATTCTACTGCACGTTAAAGCGGCATGTAAAAAAAGTGCTAATACGCTAATGCACAGTAGAATAAGCTACTGCACATTAAGCATCATCTAAAAAGTGTGCACTTGTACTTCTGTACATTAGCACAGACTAACATGCATTTATTTAGTACCTCATATTGAAGGTACTAAGTTTAATGCACATTAGGAAAAGCTCATTAATGCACGTGTAGATGACCCTGTAAGACAGAAATTTGAAACTAGTGTCCAGGGCAAAACCGCATGTTATTAAAAATACTCCTTTCAATTAGGAGAGAAAGGGAAAAACTAATTAATCTATACATGTTTGATACATAATTCACCCTGTTTCCATGAGGCTACACACAGACCAAGCAACTTGGGTAAAAGCATTTTGTTGAAGCACTTATGCTTCTCAAATCACCTATAATCAATTTACTGATTTAAACCTAATTTCCGATCATTTACAACGAGAGCTGTAACATCAGAAGCCAAAGAAAAACCACATTAAGCTTCCAAAATTCAGGTAGAATCAACTTTGGGGAGTAGTGGTGCTGAGCCTAAAGGAGAAAAGATGATTTCCGTCAGTCAGGAAGAACAGTTTGCTTGCTCATTGTTTAAACTACTGAACTATTAGAGGATTCACTATTCAGTTTGTATGCCACATGCACGTCTACAGAGCCACCATATTTTAAATGAAAAATTAAAACTAGAGTCTTGCTTTCAGTTCATATTCATACATTAATAGCCTTTTTGTCTGTAGGCTTAAGTTTCAAGAAACCTGTATTTTTAAGCTTTGAAATAATAGAACTTGCAACAATGAAAATTTCAAAATCCGCAGTGGAGTAACCTGAATGCTGAATATTTTTATGATAGTGCTCCACTAGATTAGGGGAGAGAAAGACCAATGAGCCATAGAAAGGCAGAAGTCAAAAGCAGAGGGCAACTGACAGCTCTGAAGTTTCACTCATGCACTTCGGCATGCAAAGAAGGACTGCCAGAGTCACAGCACTGTTTTTTAAAGTGAACTGGAAATTTCCATCTCCCAATCAGCCTTGTCTAGTCCCTTGGAAGCCAGTTAAAACAGGCCTCAGCATCACAAATTAATGCTCCCTTTGTGCAGGTTGTTCCACAGCTACTAGCAACCACGAGAAGCAAGGACAATGTATTTCATTTGCCTAAGCTTTGGTTTTGCTTGAATTTAAATCTAACTGTTTGGTGAGTAGTTATACTGCTAAGTAAATCAAGGTCTATACTAGGAATTACTTCAGTCAGCAAGCTTATGACCCAACAGAAGCATGAAGTCACAGAATTTATCACACGGCAAGTAGCTAGGCACACCCAATTTCATACTGGAGGCCAAACAGTGGTTTGCCATTTGGTTCTGCAGCCTCAAAGCTTCCTTTTCTTCAGTCCTTTTCCTCCACTTAAACGCTCAGATTGGATCTTATAATCTGTCCTTGACCTAGGGCTTCTGCTGGGTCCAAGTGCCTAGCCTTAAAGAGGGGGAGAGATGAGGAAGTTAAGAAGAAGAAGAAAACAAAAGTAGCATTTAATAAAGATGAAAAGCACAGACATGCTACAGAATGCACTGAAGAGAACTGTGAAGAAAAAGACAACAGCTTACATTGGAAACAAAAGCTGAATTAATTTGAACTTATGCCCCCAGTCCACTATTTAAAGATTCCATTTCCACTAGTTTGAGCATTAGCATGGGCAGGTAAAGTAAGCTGAATACCTCAGCTTATAGTTATAAAATAATCACTGCCATAGCTTATTAAAAATTAATACTTTTGACAGTTTGGAGATCCTCTACAATCTCATTTGGATTTGGCTTTACTATTAACTCAGACTGAGTAGACTTGCACCCTAACATAGGTTTCTCTCAAAGAAAGGTCTCTGATTTAAAAATGTGAGGCAACACCGGTGAACCAACAGTAAGATTAATTACGTGAGTGGAACTGAAGGGCCATACAGAGGTCAGATATGAACACACTGCCTTTGGACACAAAACCTAATTAAAGTCAAGCTGACTTTTATCTACCAATATATTTAGAGGTTTAAAAGCATAATAAGGCATGTTGAATCAGACTAAGTGCTATTACTGCCGTCTTCCTATTACGGGCAACCCCTGCTTAGCGTTCTTAATTGGTTCCTGAAAAAATGAGCGTTTAGCAAAACGAGTGTTAAGTGAAACCAAAAGTATTTGATGACCCAAGATGGCAACCACAAGTGTTTTTAATGATCCAAGATGGCAACCGCAAGCATTATAACGAAATTTGCTGAGTGCTAAGTGGAATCAAGTATCAATTTAAAATGAGTGTTATAGCAAAATAGCGCTAACCAAAACCGCGGTAAGCAGGGGCTGCCTGTACTTGTACAGTATTTAAATAGTGTGCGAGGCTGTATCCAAAATGGAAGTAGTTTAATATTCAAGGACTTCACTGGCATGACAAAATATGGCAGGACAGCTGTCAAAACACACTGAGGACCTACCAGGGCTACACTCCTGGGCCACCAGATTCAGAACTTCGACAGCAGCTGGACATTGTTGTATGAACTCTTCACAGAACGAGCTGTCTTCTAACAGCTGGGCCATCACCAGGCATGCTCTTAATGTAAAAAGAATACATTTAAAAGCACTTCAACATGGACCTCTTCTGTTGAGCCTGATATCAATAATCATAAACCCCATCTCAGGACCAGTTTGAAGAAGAGCTGCATTCTTTTCTACTACTTTGCCTGCTTGCTGCAAAATGTATTTGACCTGCTTTATATTAAAGCAACACCATGCTCTCTGTGTTGCTGTTTCTACTCTTGGCTTTGGGTTCCTAAAGTGGCAACCTCACTGCTAGCTAATCCATACTCAGTTGCTTTATTTTCTTTTGGAAACTAATACAATATCTTTATGAACTATGCAGTTTCATGTAGTCATATACTACTATTTACGTACAAAAAACTAAACTAAAGATGCACCCATCTATCTGGAACATGTTCATTCAGGACAGCAGGGTGGACATTTAGAGCACTGTATAAGCAAACAACTCACCTTGTTCTTATTTCAGCAAGAAGTCGGACCACTGCCATTACTGGAGTTGAGCCATCTCCTGTTGCAGGAAGTGAGGTATGAATAGATAGACTTCCCTCCTGAGGAAGCAACATGGACTGGACTGCCTGTACTACCTTCTCAGTAATGGACAGTTTATGAAGAGGCAATGCCTGATGGTGGTGGTGGGGGGCATGGTAAAAAGTTAAATTCAAGTAGTTAGTTTCTACGAAATGAGGGAGTTTTATCACCTGGAGTTAAACTCTCATTTTATACTATCACAAAAACAGCACCACACACAAAAACCACAAGTCAAAAAGAGAAACACAATACAGTATGCTATGGAACATCTTTAACAGAGGAAGAATGAACACTGTTACTTGGATTAGAACTTTATATTTAAATACCATTACAAAATGTTTAAAACAAAAAAGAGATAAGTTTTACAAGCCATCTTTAAACAAACAAAGATGAATCAAGGCCTTTTACATGCCACAGGTTTGTTTTTTAATAACAGCATAACTCGTGATTGCACTTTATGTTAGATTTTTCAAAGCTACCTTACCTCAGATCGTGGAACACAGAGCCTAGATAATGGAATAGTTAATGTGTCTGATGCTTGTGCAGTCTTTCTACCGTCTATACTGGTAGGAGGAAATTTGACTGTTGCTATACCTTCCTGTTCGTTAATAGATGCTACCACACCAATGCTTCCTGCTATTCCTCGACCCAAAACCTATTAAAAAAACCAAAAAAAAAGATCACTTACATTTTATTCAGACTTACAACAAACTATACTAAATGCTAAACACAGAATACTTAACACAATAAACCCTTACACAATTGTTTGGGAGTACAATTAATACTGCACAATAATAGTCTCCACAAATGAACATCAGTACAATGGCTTTGACCATGATTCATAATTGCTCTGAGTTTGCTATGATACAATAATGTGGACTCTGTAGGCACTAAAATGATTAAAAGTGCTGACTTACATATGAAGTATAAATAGCAAAAGGCAGGAAATTACCTGAACTTCAGAACCTATTTTAATTGTCTCCTTAAAGCCACCAAGAGCGCACAGTGCAGCCACTGCCTGTCGAGCAATTCTTTGAAGTTTTGCTAACTTCCTGCCACTACTGCTTCCATTCTCCAAGATGCTCTCTGCATATTTCCCAAGTTGTGGAATGTACATCAGAGCCCGAGAAAGAACCTGAACATACAAAAGCAGTAATGCAGGGTGAGAAAAATAGAGGACTTGAACTCATGGCTTTTTTTTTTGTTTGAAAAACCCCACACTTGATTTTTTTTCAGCTTTCAAAGAGAATATTTGCTCATTCCAAAATTAATTAAAATGCAGAGATGTGCACATGCCCTAGCCAAAATCCTTTCCACCATGTAGGCTGAGTAGCCAGGATATAGGCAAAGGGACCACTGGGATCTGGAAGCAGAGACAACTTAGTCCAGCCTGTAGCTCCTCAGAGGTCAGAAAGGATTGGACTGTGAAGGTAGGTTTATCACCTGAACACATGAATATTAAAAATATATATATATATTAATGGCAGTGGAGTCCTGTTTTGACAAACTGGCCAAGGGCAAAAGCTGAGTAATGACAACTACAAATAGGAAGGTGGAGAAAAAGGGACTGGAAATGGCTCTAGACTGCCAGCAGTTATCTTGCACTGGATATGCAGACTGGAATATATGTTCATTATCATTGCAACCACTTTTGCTTACTTTTTCAGCTGTTGTGGTCCATATTTGAGCTGCATTTGATTCTGGTGCCATCAGCAAGCTGTGAAGCAAAGCAATCACCTCTGCTGCCATACTGTTTGCAACGTGCCCACTGATGAATGGTCTTACAGGATCCGTTCTGTACAGAAGAAAATATTCACTTGCCCAATACTCACACAACAATCAATTCCCCAACCCAGCCAAGGAGACTCCAAGAGTTGCACTGATTACAAAGACAAAGACAATTATGCTATTGTCGAGATTCCACCATGACTGTTTACCTTGCGAGTTCAGAATTCCTCTCCCTGCAAATAGAGGTTTGAGCAGTTTTCTTTTTGTCACCAGTTGACAAGCCACTAGTGGTTTCTGGACTGACAGTTTCAACGGGGGGCCCGACACTGACAATTAGTCCAGACTGTGCCCATTTGGTTGCCTTTCGAAGAGCGGCAGCTGCCTCTTCTGTAATAACTTCACAGCAGCCACTCTGCAAAGGAAATGTCAGAGGTATTGAAAATGATTAATTAGCTCAGTTCAGATTAAATATAATCCATGGAGATGGAGCTAAAAGGATATCATTTATATACCAAATTTAAACTCTTTTTCCAGTTGTGGAAGAGTCACAAAACAGATCCACTATTTCCTTAAGATTTATTCATTATTCACATGGAACAGATTTTTCTCCATTCTCCCCTATGAATTAGTCAAAAATAAATTGGTGTGGATTTGACATGGTTAGGTATTCAAGCAGCGTAATTTAGCTTGGTTTTGACTGTTCAGACAGCCAGAGAGTATTGTTTCTGTTTTGATTAAAGAATCCATCATTACCTCTGGCACAAATACTCACAGGTATGACTTTAAACTCAGTTTGCATAAATATTCTAACATGTGTTTTGACATTCACTTTATCTAAGCCTCTTCCAAGTAAAACTCAGTCTCCTTAAAGTGCCAACAGAAAGCGAACACTAAAAGAAGCCTCATCCAAATTTGTTTGGGAAAATAATAGCAGAAATTATTTTTGCAGGATTTATCCACCACTGTAACTAGTGCACAACAGCTGTCTTTAAGCATTTATACATGCATGTCAATAGACTCTGGCGGTCTAAACCTGTTAGGAGAAAGCTCTCTTTGAAACTCATTCTGAAGTGACTTAAGTTTAGTTTCCTGGTTCTTTTAAAAAGAGTTTAAGAACAAATGGGGGAAATGAGAATTTACTGGTTCATAACTGTGAAAGGTGTTAAATAACCATCTTCATTCTGTTCTTACCTTAGTCATGTCCCGGTCCATCTTCACCACTTTTTCCATGTTAGCCCCAGTACCAAGCCGGAACGGCCGACCCTCTGAACTACTACAGAGAAAAAACAAAAGGCATAGATGGAATGTAGTTAAAAATAGGTGGAATGTAGTTAAAAAATTCACACTGGAATTAGTTGGCAATGCTACAGCTAATACTTCTAATTTTACAAAAAAAGTTTTATGAGCTGCTTAGATGGCCCTGAGTGATGAAGAGCTTCTGGAAGACAGCAATGTTGGTAGGAACAGTCTGGCACAGTACCTTTTCATTTTGGACTGAGGCACCAGTTCACGGCTGACTCAGAGCAAGTGGAGCTGAATAATACATTGCCAACCTGGCTTCTTCCAGGCCAGGCTCCCATTTTTATTTTGGAGGCATCTCTTCATATACTTCCAGAAATCAAAATCTGAACTAGTGTGACCTACAACTGAGAGCACTTATATACCCCTAACAACAAACTAATTATCCAGGTAATGGCCATTTACTGGGAGTGGCACTTAAAATATTTTTTTTCTGTTGATAGTTCTACCAACTGCAATATTACCTTGTTTTACAACACTAAAAGAGGACCTTAACATTTTTGTAGTAGGTTTTAAATAGATGGTCCAACAAGGCTCTTTGGGTAAAAGACATCAGATTTACCCAAAGAACCTTGGGTGCCTATGTCCTTACACCAACACAGCTATAACCTACACCCCTGTAAATAGATAGTTCTGGGTTTTAAAGTTAAAAAAAATGCATTGAAGGTTTTTCTGCTCTTTTGCTAACATATCTGGGTTATTCAGAACCTCTCCATAAGAATAAGTCCACTAGAAAGGCCTACTCTATGTCACACCTTTACCACCTCCCTCCCTCTACAGATTTTCATCCTGGCTACAGTTCTTATCATTGGGAAGGAAATTCTTGCAGGGCCTGGAGACAAACTTGCACAAAAACTTCCCTGAGGTTCAAACCTGAAGTCATTATCTTAGCGCTTCTGAAATGAAGTACAATTAACCATCAACAAAACAGTGATGATGGATATACAACAAATGCTATGAAATACATGAAGTAAGTAAAAGAAAAACCTTTCCCCCATCTACATTAAGGCATAAATAGAAATTTGATTTTTAGAGTATATATGTGCATGCACAGAAGTTAATGGAGCTGTGATCCATGTTCTTGATGCTGTTAATTTGTCTCAGCTTCAGTGTAGCTACATACACTTCTATCTCTGTAACTGTATGCTGTGCATCAGAACTTATTTGCAAGCAGCAACAGTACATAATGGAATCTGAAACACATTTTGCCTTCTCATTTAGTGTCATCTCCAGCTGCCAGCTTCCATAGCTGTGGAAGAATAGGAGCAGAAATGGAAATCCCTGAACTGCTTTGCTATTTCTAATCCACTGAGTTAAAGTTACCTCAGTAATGGTTGAAGAACTTCATGGGACGACTGATCTTCCCGTTTATGAATAAAAATAGAAAGTTTACCATCCACGGCCTCACTCTCTTCCCCAGGATCTTTATCACCTTTTATGGAATTTTTTGGACTGGCTTTTGCCAGAGCTGTATCTGGCTCAGAAGCAGTTGGAGAAAGAACAGTCTGGCATCCTTCAATCAAAAAGGAAAAACAGAACAATTGTCAAGCATTTTAAATGCCATTTGCTTTGAAGCTGACTTTATTGATGGACTTTCCTGACTTTAACAATAATGCTTTTAAATATTTCTGAGCTCTCTTTCATGTGCCTGCAATAAATGCTATATTCAGATATATTCAGATAACTGAGCTATGCTCAAGAGGCAGGATGAAAGAGTGAAAGAAATATGTCTAATGCTGGATAAACATAGCTAGCTCATCCTGCTGCTAAGGTTTTTGACAAGTTCACTTTTAGAACATTCACATACAATACATCATCCTTTCTGAGCCTTTTGTTAACATATGATTCTTGCACAAACATGAATCACCTCCCAGTTTCTCAAGATACTGCAATATGAGAAAATATTAGCACCTGGTACTACATAGTCTGCCAGTTTTGCTAACAGCAGAGATGCAATCTTGGAGGCTGGGTCACTGGGGTCGTCCTGTTCACTGTTCAGGGAGGGTACAGAATAACTCCAGGGGGGCAGTTCAACATTTCCACAGTCTTCAACACTCATGAGAGGAAGTGCAGCACGACAGAGCTGGAGGATTATAAGGACCAGCTTTGGTGAAGGACGCTGGTCCAGGAGAAGTGACAGAAGTTTGGAGACGCAGGCTGGCTGACTCAAGATTGCTTTCCCTATGTGACTCCTGAGAGAAAGAAGAGCCTAGTTACCTCTCTTTTTAATGGCAAAAACAGGCATGTTTCATTATACTTTTGAAATCAAACATGACATTCTGCCTCAGGGAAAAAGGGTCTGAAAGGTGATGTAAGTTCAATAAATTATTATGAAGTGCTTAATGAATGGGAACCCCTTATATGTCTTCAGTGTTTTGAGCCTCTCAAAGAATGCCGTTTTCTTATTTCCCACAGGATCACCAAGAACACAGCCCTGAAAATAGCTCTACTATCTGAAATGTCAAGATGAATATTATAACAAGACAGTTTAAGTGTTGATATCTAGTAACCATTTATCTGCATGCACAAAAATTTCAGAAAAGCTCCATTAGGCACCAAAGCTTATAAATAAATAAAAAAAAAAAAGCAAGAAGCTTTATGGTATCCAGCCACCTTAATCTCCTTTTTCAGATGTATTGCACAGCCCAGTACAAAACACGATGACCCAGGAAACATTAGGCCAGTTAGTCTTACCTCGATCCTGAGTAAGCTTTTTGAGAGAATTATCCTAGCGCATGCCTGCGAGGGGTCAGCATGGGAGGTTATGCTTAGGGGCAACCAACATGGGTTCATTGGGGGCAGGTCCTGTCAGACCAACCTGGTGGCCTTCTATGACCAGGTCACAAAATCCTTAGACGCAGGTGTAGCAGTGGACTCAGTCTTCCTGGACTTTAGGAAGGCCTTTGACACTGTCTGTCACCCCATTCTCATTAAAAAACTAGGGGACTATGGAGTCGACACCTACGTAGTCAAATGGGTCACTAACTGGCTGGAGGGCCGCACCCAGAGAGTGGTGGTAGACGGGTTATTTTCGACCTGGAGGGATGTGGGCAGTGGGGTCCCCCAGGGCTCAGTCCTCGGGCCCACACTGTTCAACATCTTCATCAGTGACTTGGACAAGGGGGTAAAAAGTACCCTGTTCAAATTCGCAGATGACACTAAGATGTGGGGGAAGTGGGCATGCTAGAAGGGAGGAATAGGCTGCAATCTGACCTAGACAGGTTACAGGGGTGGGCGGATGAGAATAGGATGGGATTCAACACTTACAAGTGCAAGGTGCTGCACCTGGGGAGGAAGAACCAGCACCATACCTACAGGCTGGGAACTCCCTTCTCGTCAGTGCAGAGGCAGAAAAGGATCT